GGTAGGGGTTTTTTTTAGAAGTGTCATTATTCCTGTCATCTGTTGTTATGTAGATGAGAATAATGGCATTCCCGGTTCGCTCCCGTGCCTCCTGCTGCGGCAGAAGGCAAAAGTTCAGCAGCCAGGTAGGGGCCGGCTGCCCTGGGCAGGGTTTTATTGCTGAGATCAGCGTGAGGGGAGGTGGGAAAGGAAAAAAAAATAAAGGCGGCTCCAGACTGCTCTGGGACTTGAGGGCTCTGGTCTGAGCCGCCAGGCTCTTAAAATCCTGGCGTTAAAACAGCCAAACTTGGGCAATCTCATTGTGCAAAAGGGAAAGCAGATGTTGGGAGAGAAATAACGTCAGCCAGCCCTCTTAAAGGAGAGCGAGTCGCCTCTAATTCTTAAAACGTGTATTTTCTGTAGGATACAGCCAGCATGCTGGGTATCTGAGTTCAGTTAGACCTCGAGCCTGGGTTTGAGCAATGGTTCCTAAGCCAACGCTCCTACCAGTGCCAGGTACGGAGCTGCGGTCGAGAGCCGCTGAAGTTATCGGCGGAGCGCGAGGCCAGATGCCCCCCTGGGTCGCGAACAGCCTGTTGGATTTGCCAAAGGCGAGGGTCGTAACCCCCGTACCGACGTGTCGAGCCGCAGCCCGGTTGTTCGGTTTGAGTGCAGGCGGCCGTACTCAGAACGGAGCTTGAGATCCGGCAAGCTCCTTGCACGTGAATCTTAAAATAAGACAGTCAGGTGGTGATGATTTCTGTCAGAAGTTGTTCCAGCTGGTGACTAAAATCTCTTTGTGCGTATTTGGCTTAATAGGAGAAGTTTTGCTGCGTGTGGTTTTTGGATTTGTCACCGTGTTTGGTATGAGACTAGGACGTAGGACATTGCTCTCTAGTAAATGATCCTTGTAAAAACCACTAATTATTACCCAGCGTAAGGGGAAAGGTTGGAGGCGTGCGTGCTGCTAGAGGGTAATGTTCATTGCTCAGAAGTAGAGCCTGGTTTCCTTTCGAGCAGCAAGGTACGATCTTTTCATGATGTGAAGAGTTAACCTACACTTAGAAGCCCTTGTAGAAATTCCACTGGCGTGAAGTCTTGCCTGCCAGCTGAGGCACGGAGGCACAGATTTAGCTTTTGTGTATATGAGATATTTATATTCGCTTTTAAAAAAAAGTCCCTTGAAAAAAAAAAAAAAAGACCTGAATGGAAGCAGAAGTGCTGTGGAACTCACTGGGGTTTTAATTACCTGTCAGTGCTGTAGTGCTTAACGCCCCTAGCTTGTTACAGACACTTTGCAGACTTCATTCGAATCTGGGCTTCTGTAAGTAATACAGCGTGGAGACAGGCTAATCATTGTTTGCAAGCACAGAACTGAAAAAAAAAATAATGCTGAGCCAAAGTTATCCATAGTGTGAACTGCTCTGAGTCTCAGCTTACACCGCGACTGAGTTTGACTGTAAGTGGAGTACATAACCCCAGGCTGAAATGCAGATCTCGAAGGTGAAGTTTCTAAGCGAAGGATTTTTTTAATTCCGCTCTCCCTGCCTTGGATCAAACGGTATCGCTGGAAGGAGAAGAAGAAACAGATGCGCTTTTTTGGCAGTGGAGCCAGTCATGTCTGAGAGCACTCGCAGGACAGAAAGTGGGATTTGTTTCCCTTTAAGAGAGGGGAAATGGCCTTTTGCTAAGCTGGATTTATAGCGTACAGAAGTTTTTTTGTTGGCCAGACACCGCAGGGGAGCACATTGCATGTACAGAAAATACTCTGCTCGTGCCGGTCTGTGTGAAATTCCTCCCTGCGCGGAGCAGAGGAGGGCTCCTCCAGCGTGTGCTCCCTCTTGTTCAAGAGACCAGTGCTTTTCACTTCAAGCCTGTCTTTGCACGTCTCGATACATATCGACTGTTCAGAAAAGTGGCGATTTATAATCCCAGGGAGCCCCTTTGAACTGCCTGTCCCAAACGGCGAGGCAGGAATGGCTGCAGGCCATATGCATGTGTCGCTTCAGCCTAGCGCAGATGTGCCGGGAAGGCATTCACACGTGTCCCTCAGCACGGCCAGTGTGTCGTATCTCATATCTGGACAGGCTGCCGAGCTGACCCTTTAACAGAGAGCTGCGAAAGGCTGTATGAGCGTCCTGAAGTACTGAGGTTTCTTGCTATTAATTGTCAGCGTCACATTTTTCTTTTCCATGCTATTTATATCAGTGGCCTCGACAAAGCTGTGTGTGGCTTATGTCTTTGTATTTTCTGCTTACATTCCTGCAGTTTCTTAAGCTTTCTCTTGGCTTGTGTCCCTTTATTCTAGTACACTGATAGGTAATTTACTTTTAGAAAGCAACTGATCATTTTCCTCTGCTCAGAAGCATCTGTAATTAACTGACGTTTTGTTGTCTTCTTTAGACCTTGGCCTAACTTTCCGGCCTTCTGCATAATCATTTTCCTGACTGACTCTGTCTTGAGTGCAGTGGCTGATGGATGGCAAAGGAAAGAAGCGACTGCAGTGTTCCCAGCACTGTCCCTAAACCCAGCTGAGGGTCGGGTTCCTGGGGTTGAGGACGCTCTCTTGTAGCTTTTCCCCATTTCTGTAGTACCCTCATAGTTCTGAGATTACCCAAACATTTCCAGCACAGCTTGGAGCGCGCTTTGTGTTGTGCCAAGAGGTCTTTCTGTTATGCATCACTCATAAATTGTTTCTTTTCATGTTTCCCCCCTGCAACTTTGAAGGCTTAATTCAGTATGAGCTAACTCCTCTGTTGCTTAACACTGGGTGCAGGCAGACAGGCAGGCCGCTCCTCGGGTCTTGTTGCTGAAATCGGATCCTACGTACATAGCTTTTATGCTTCCTCACTCTCATGACTGGAATCCAACTCTGTGTGTTCCTGTTCCCCTTTTTTGTTTTCAGCATTTGTCGCTTCTCTTGCCACACAGAAGCGAAAGGTTTGGGCACTTGCAATCTGAGGCGGGAAGAGGAGAGCTTGTCCTTAGCAGTCTCAGTCTTCACTTTTAGCCGTTTGAAACCTCAGAGGAGAGAACTCAACTGTAATTAACAAAAAAAGGCCTAAGAAAGCTTTGGTAAAATTTCTACTGAGATGAACTCAAAAAAGAGGCTGCTTCCATCAGCTCATCTGAACTTCATGCTAAGAAACTTCCTTGTGATGATGAGTCACGTCCAGCCGTCTGCCAGATGTTCAAGAGCACCAGGGCACCTCATCTAGCCTTTCTCCTAGCCTGAAGCTCCTGGCGTCCCATTGGGCACACCTTTCCTGTGCAGTCCTTACAACACAATATTTTTGATGTAAAATACGTAGGGTTGCCAGCGTGATTTTAAAAACCGATCCGAGCTTAAGCAGCAGGAGGTTTCCGTGGCGTGTTTCCTCTTTCTTGGCAGCACTTCGGTCAGGACAGAATTGAAAACGCTGTGGGCTCCCAGCAGGGATTAGTGGTGTAGAAAAGCAGAAGTTCTATCTTTCAAATCTGAACAACATGTAAGAAAAATTGTGATGGCTTGCAGGGGGTGGCGAGGAGCAGAAGGGGGAGGAAGCTTTGTAAACTGAAGGTTTTAAACTTTATCCGCTTTGTGTGTGTGTGTCCCTCGCAGGAATGTTCAGCATGTGGTCGTTTGCTTGGTGTTAGGATAGCTGCTGAGGCTGTCCTGGGCTCTGACTGCTACTTTTCTCTCCAAAATAAAATGGAAAAACACATTCTTTCTACAAAGGAAAACATAATAAAACAGAGAAGATCATCACAGCTTCATCTTTAGATGACATTCACTTGCCTGGCAGAGGAGAGTGCTTTAGTCTATTTATGTTCAAACCATAACAGTCCCTGTTGGAGCCCTGTTTTGATTTCTGGCTGATGTGTATGTTATCTTGCCTCTCTTACACTAGGCAAAGCCTCTGCAGTTTAATTGCAGCCTTAAAGTTCAGACAAATATTTACAGCTTCTGCTTTCCTTGTAAGATGAATGTCTGCTTCAAAACACTCTCTTTGCTGTGTTTCCCACTCCTTAAGTGGGTTCATGCTTTTTAAACCTGCCTGGGCAGCTTGGGAAATAAAGTGGGAGTCGCAGCCAGTACAATTTGTTCTCTGCTTTATTTACAGGAACCAAGCAATAAGCGGGTTCGGCCTTTAGCACGGGTCACATCCCTGGCGAACTTGATCTCTCCTGTAAGAAATGGTGCAGTTCGGCGCTTTGGGCAGACAATACAGGTAAAAAGCAGAGCCTTCCAGTCCTTGAAGTCTGGAGACGTGGGGAAGTTACTGGCTGTACGGGGCTGAAACGGGCACTGGGATTTCGAGGCGTCTCTCGAAAATCTCGTATGTGACTCATGCAAGGACAGAAAGCTTGCTTGGGACTTGGGGATGAAGCAGAGTTCAGGAGTTCAGAGGTGGCATGCTAGATAACCAGGTTATTGAGGACTTGAGCAGTAAAAAAAATCAACTGATTCAGATAGGGAGAATTAGTTGATAAACTGTTCCAGGACTTGAGATACGTGTATTGGAGCATGTGTTTAAATGTGAACTGACCCCGCTGTTCAGCGATCTTTCAGTAGTGTTAGAGAAGTGTCGTCTAAGGAACACTACACCCCACGCTCGCGCATAAGAGCGCTTCTGTGTCTGGGTTTGAGTAACGTTGCAAATCACGAGAGCAAAGTTCAAGTGACTCCTGATTAGCCCTGTTCTAGGTAGGATTATGACCCTAGTTTATTTTCTTCCTCATTCCTTGGAAACAGACCCAAGCTTTACCTGCCCATCCTCCTCCCAAGCACTGCTTGGATCAGTGCAGCGAGAGGCACATGGAAAAGCTTGCCAATCTCTGGGCTCTCGGGGCTTTCTCAGCAGCTTGATTAAAGTGTTCCTTTATCTGAGGAAAAGGTGTCTGGGTGTGTTTTCCTGCCCTGTACAACAGAGGAGGATGAAGGATTGGGTGGGGTATGGATAATACTACAATACTTCTGTATTTCCAAAATGTTTGCTCTACATATTTAAAAAAAATTTTTTTTTTTCAACCCCTCTAGTCATTTGCCCTTCGCAGTGACAGCAAATCTCCTGGCTGCGCCCAGAAGTCATGTAGCAGATCTGCTGCTCCTACTCCTCCTAAACGAAGAAACAGCGTACTTTGGTCTGAGATGTTAGATGTCAACATGAAAGAGTCCCTGAGCACCAAAGAAATCAAGCGCCAGGAGGTAGGCTGTCCGCCAAACAGCGGGACTGGGGAAGGCAGCCGAGGCTGCTTCCTCTGTGGGGAAAGGAGTAAGGAGCATCCGCGGGTGACTGTATCGTCCTGTGCACCTTCATTTCTAAGCCGCTAGATTTATAGCTGCATTAGGCATGGGAAAAGGTAGGCTGCTCTCTCTGGAGTCACTAGGGAGTTTGTCTCCCCAGTTTGACCCTTCGGAGCTGCCAAACTCTTT